CCTCCTCCCTCAGACCAGGGGTCCTGACCCCCCAGCCCCTCCCTCAGACCCAGCAGGCCAGACTCTCAGGACCTCCCCTGCCCCTCTCTCCCTGGCTTAGGTCCCTCCAGGATGTCGGACACTGAAGAGCAGGACTATGAGGAGTGAGCAATGCTGGCCAGAGGGGCGGGGGTTGGAGACGGGTAGGGCCCCTCGAAGCCCCCACAGCCGTTAACTCCCCGCTTCCTTTTCTCTCCCTCGCCTATTTCTCAGGGAGCAGCAGGAAGGTGAGTCCAAGGGGCTGGCGTTCGGTGGTGGACACACCCACTCTGCTGTCATCCAATGGGAGGGAGAGAGGGGTGGAGCCTCCGGCCCCAGACATGCCCCTCGCGTTTAAAGACTCTGGAAACGCCGGGACGCTCTCCGGTCACTTCCAGGAAGGTTCTGAGCCTCTAGCCAGGGCCTCTGACGGTCTGCTCTGTCCACACTCCGCCCTCCTGCCTTGAGAGTCAGGGTTACGGGGGTGGGTAAGAGGCAGGGGTGTGTATGTCCCAATTGGGGAGGGGGGGGGCAAAAACAGAGTCTCCATTTGGGGTGTTATTTTGGGGGAGGACTTCGGGTTGGGCTGACTGAACATGCACACGTCAGAATTTTAAAGTGTTAAGAATTGCGGGTGCTCCAAGTCTGCAGGCCACGGAGTTTCAAGTCCTAGAGTCTGAGTATCAGAAACTGGGACCTTAGGGGAGAGGTTGAGGGGATTGGGGAGCAAAATCATGAATACGGAGGGGGGGTAGGGCGGGGGGAGGAGGGAAGCCGCGCCAGAACAGGTGGTGGTGATTTATAGACATACAACTCTAAGCCAGGACTGAGCTAGTGCAGGTGTGTGAGGTTTGCTAGATCTCTGTAAAACTGTACAAACGGGGATAAGGAGCGTGTGCTGATGTTAGAACGTGGGAGGTGGGGGCGCTAACCGAAAGGTCCAGTGGTTGGCACCCAACAGCTGCTCCGCGGGAGAAATACCTGGGTGTCCGCGCTCATAAAGATTGACAGCCTTGGAGAACATTTCTCTTCTGTCCTGAGGGTCGTGCTATGAATGGGAACCGACAATCGTAACTTGGTTTTTTTTGGGGGGCGGGGTCACCTGGAGCCCTTGGGCCCGGGGGTCTCCCCTCAATCCCTCACGCCCCCTCTTCTCTGCCCTCGCCAATCCCCGCCCCTTGAAGAAGAGGCTGAGGAGGAGGAAGAGGAAGGTGAGATCGTGGGTCCCGCTGGTCCTGAGCTGGACAGCGGGAGTCCAGGGGTTCGAAGCTTGGGGGGGGGTGTTGGGGACACTGGGGGCCAGGGGCGGTAGCTGGGCCGGGGAGGGGGCGCACCCGAGGGTCTCGGCCCCAGTCCTTTTAACAGCCTCTCCCCTCTCTCCCTTCTCTCCCCATCCTGCCCCCGGGCGTGGCCTCTCCTGCCCCCTCGCGCCCCCTCCCTCGCACCCCAAATCCTCGCTTCCCCTCCTGTCCCCTCCCCAGCCACTGAGGAGCCGGAGCCGGTGGTCGAGCGAGGTAACCGCTACCGCTTCGCTTCCCGGGGGCCCGGGGGAGAAGCCCCTCCCCGATAGCATCGGCCGGGCGCCCCACGTTGCGCTCCCCCCCACTTCCGGTCCCCACCCCAGACGCGGTCCTTTAAGCCCCAGAGAGCCCTGCAGTCCTCTGGTGGCCACGGAGGGAAATAGCCTTTCCCTTCCTTCTTAAAGGGACCGACACCCAAACCTTCTTCCCAGGCCTGGAGGAAAAGGCACAGAAGGGTTGGATGTTTGCGGAGAGGCGCCCCGTCCCCCTTCTTCCCTGCCCGTCCGCTGTCCCCCCCACCCCATATACATTCAAATGCTGGGGCCTGAATTCTGGGGTTGCGGGAAGTCAAGGCTAGAAGTAGGGGTTCCTGTTGCTTAGAGGGGAGGGGGGCTCTTGGCACAAGTCCTCTGGGTCCTTGAAGGAAGGGAGGGCTGGATCAGGGATGGGGGGTAGGACTCCAAGCACTGGAGGCTGAATGCACACTGCCTGATTTCTGGGGAGAAGGGCAGACCCTTGGGGTATGGGAGGAGAAGGGTCTGAAGTTTGGGACTGCTGGGTTCCCAGGTTGAGGGGAGGGGAGGGAGACCCCCCCACCAGTTCTGAATGTATATCTGATGCTG